CGGCCCACCGCGTCCCATCCGGTCAGTGCCAGCCTAGTCAGCGCCGAGAACGCCGCCAGCTGGCGCCGCGGCAGCACCAGCCCTTCCACAGCCAGCGACTCGAGCCGCGGGCCAAGCCTGGACAACGCCGGCGGCAGGGCGGCGCCGGGGTGGGCAAACAGGTGGGGCTCCGCGAGGCTGTAATTGGCCGAGGGGCCGAGGATTGAGAGGGCCCTGAGGGTCGTGAGGGATGAGATGGCCTCGGGTAGCTCGAGACGGTGGCCGTAGGAGATCGACCGCAGCTGCTGCTGCTGCTGCTGCTGCTGCTGCTGCTGGAGGCGGCGCGAGCGGCGGGGCGCGCTGGCAGTGGCGACCGCGCTCTCTCCGAGGGCGATCGCCCCCCAGCCGAGGGTCAGCTGCGTCAGCCTGTGATTGGGGGAGGGGAGGGGGGTAGAGGATTGGAGGCCCGCCATCAATTAGGAACGAAGGGCGTGACCCGCGAAGAAAGGAAACCTCGCGGCCCTCTTGAGCCGAAGCACGGCGAAGCGAGCATGTAGGGTGGGGAGGGGGCGAGAGCCCAGGCACTCTGCAGGGGCGTGGCAGCAGCCTACAGCTGAGCCGGGCGCTGCCGCGGCTGCTCTGTGGGGTGCAAATAAACGAGGACTTCCCGGCGGCCGCTGACTGGCGATTGGCGAATCGGGTGGGGATGCCCGTCGTGCATGGGGAAGGCAGGCGGAACCAGCACACGCGCTGCAACTAGTCGTGCGCGTGGCTCCACCCCGTCCGCGTGAGGGCGGGGTCTCGGCCCCCAACGGCACGGCCAGGCGCCCTCGCTCAGCGGGGCGGCCGCTGCCAGGGCCACGCACGGTACTGGCGGCCGCTCTGCAGGGTGTGCGACGCGACAGGCTCCAAAAAGAACAGCGTGCCCGCGTAACAATTGCGTGCGTATGGAATACAAATGCGTGCGTATGGAAACAATTGCGTGCGAGCCGCCGTACAGGGCGCGCCCTCACCCCGTGAGTCGCGCCACGTCTTGCAGCAGGGCCACCAGCTGCCCCCCCTCCCCGTCCGGCGGGAGCGGCGACAGGTCCACCGCCGTCGCGTTGGGCGCCGCGACGTGCACAGGCCACAGCGGGCCAGGGCCGGCGGCCGCCGGCGCTTCGCGCGACCTGGAGGGGCCGGCGGCGTCACAGGGGGCGTACCGCCGGCCAGGCCACGTCATCAGCGTCACCCGGGTGGCCTGGCCGTCGAGGGTGTCCCGCCATGCGGAGCACACCAGCCGCGCGGTCTTGGCGTGGCCTTGGATGAGGTAATGCAGGACGATCTGGGCGGCGGCCTCGGGCAGGCGGTCCCAGGACCAGGGCGTGCTGCCGGCGCTGCTGCTGCTGGCAGCCCGAGCTGTGGCGTCTGGTGCGTGCATCGCCCCGTGGTCCACCTTTAAGGCCCGCAGCGCCTGTGGCCGTCAGCGGCCGTAACTGCTGAGGGCCTGTGTAGGCGCGTTGTGGCCCTGGGGAGTGTGTGCGCTGCGGCCGATCGGCCGCTGGTTGGGTGCAAGCGGTGGCGTGCACGGCACACTGATGCCCAGTGACTTCAGACGCGCAGCCTGTCAAAGATGCGGCCTGAATGACGGGTTTAAGCCATCATACGCCAAGTGAGGCACGCATTGCTACATCCACGAACTGACATGATCTGCATCGCTTTCACTGTAGGCATTAATCAAATTATAAGGTCGGGGGATTGCGGAATGAACAGGCGTGTTTACATATGGGTAGGAGCGCATGCTGGGCCCCTGATGTCGGCGCGCTGCTGTGGCGTTGCTGGCGCGGCACCACATAGCGTGCCTGTGATACCATGGCAAGCACTGCCGCATGGTGCATGATGCAGGTTGTCACTCTCGTTGCCTGTGGCCTCCAGCACCAACGTCCTATCCCATCGGCACCTGTGGCAGCGTTGCATGCGCCTTGCCCACCTCGTCCCACGCCCACGCAACCTGTGCGGCAGGACGGGATGGCAAGTAGCTTCGAGCAGCAGCTCGCAGAAGTGGACAAGGTCATCGCCAGCAGGGAGGCAGCGGTCAAGGAAATGGAGGACAAGATAAAGCAAGTGGTTGACCCTGAACCGCCAAAGCTGGTAGCAATGCGGCAGGAGCTGGTAGCATTGCGGCAGGAGAAGGCAGCACTGCGGCAGGAGGAGGCAGCACTGCTGCAGGACGAGGCAGCACTGCTGCAGGAGGAGGCAGCACTGCTGCAGGAAGAGGCAGCCCTGCTGCAGCAGGAGGCAGCACTGCAGCGGAAGGAGCTGCTGCTTCTAGAACAGCAGTCAGGTGCGGCTGGGTTGCGCACGTGGCGCATGCGAGCCAATAGAGCTTTGAAGCATTCCATGCATCCAGCCAGCGTGCAAATTGCTTCACCATGCTGCTCGTCTTGTGCAACCAGCAAAGCATGGCGTTTTGCTATGGCCTGCCCGGTGCAGGCTTGCGCAGCGCTTTCACGAGGCTCAGGTGGTTCCAGAGCAGCAGGCAGCTGCCACACCACAGTGGTGCCGCACAGCTCATTTTGTGCCCGTGGTCTCGATTTTCTGTTTCATGGTCTTTCCCTGCGCTGTGGCTCATGCCTGGGCTTGCTCCGTCGCCCGACAGCAGCAGCAGTGCATCTTGCAATCCATGCCAACAACTCGCTGGGGCGTGGGCTTCATGGGGTTTGCCCCCGCAGACGATGATGTTGTGTGTGGAGGGGGATGATGGTCAGTGCTGATATTGGTTGAAACCCAGCTGCACCTTGCAAGCACCTTGACCCTCTGCTTTGCCCCCTCCTGCGCCCTCCCCCTGCATGCTCCGTGGCTCCCGCGTGGGCTTCCTTCGACATCACACAGCAGCAGCAGGTGGGTAACGCGTGGTTCTGCAACAGTGCCAGCGCACTCACTGCTTGATCATGCGGCTCGAATTGTGCAGCATAGCAGGCATGGCGTGTTGCCAGGGCATGCCTGCTGCAGGCTTGCGCAGCGCTGTCACGAAGCAAGGCGGTTTCAAACTCATGGCTGCGTATTGCAAGTGGTGCTCTCTTTGCGTCGCCCACCAGAGTGGATGTTCACTGGGCGCAGTCCTGCATTTAATCCTTTGCTACCATCGCTGCAGGCGGCCATGTGCACCTGCACATCCTGATGCCACGTGGACAGTCTATGGATTTGAGAGCACAGCTAGAAGATGGGGGACTGGACCTGTGGCAGCTGGGGAAGGAGCGGGGCATAGAGCTGCAGTCGTTCTGCGTCTCCGAGGCGGAGCTGTCAGCAGAAGGTGTCAAGCAGATCAAATGGCAGCCCATCAAACAGTGGAACCTGAAGCTCGACCCCAGCAGCTGCCATGTCTACGTCAAGTCCAAGCCAGGTGGGACTGCTAGTGAGATCAGGGATCATAATGTGGCATAGTCATCCTGTTGGCGCCAGATCAAACAGGTTCAAACCCTTGAAACTGAAATCTCTTTGTTTCTATGATGTGCTGTCGAGTGCAGCACCTTATGGATGCACAGGATCTACACTATGCTGCACTTTGATCGATATCCCGTGGGGTTCCCGTTGCTCTACCCTTCTGCCTTGCATCAGGGCCCCACTGGCTGGTCAAGGCCCTTACACGCTGAACCAGCTGTGCACCTTGTGGCGGTCGCCACCACCACAGGGCTGCCATCAGCTACGATTGGTGTGGTTTTCGTTCCCGCACGGCCGGCTTGGCCCCTTGTGACCGCGCCCCCATCACCAACTATGGTGGCGTGACCACCCTCACCAACGCCGGCGTGGGCTTCAACGGCGGCCTGACCAGCAGCTTGGACGAATTTGGCAACCCCGTCGTCAAGGAAGGTGGTCGTGGCCTGATCGCTCGCCGCTTGGGCGCGCATGCAGCCGCGGCCATGATACGCCAAGGTGGCACAACGTTCATCGAGGGTGCCCACCCCACCATGGTCTCTGGCGGCCCTCCTGCCAACGCTGGAGAGGCCATGAACCAGGCCGTGGCATCCTTTGCGCAGCAGCAGCAGCAGCAGCAGCAGCAGCAGTGGCCGCAGCAGGGTGCTGACCGTAGCCAGCAGGAGCAGCAGCAGTGGGTGAAGCAGATGATGGGCGACACCCCCAAAATGCAGCAGTGGCAGCAGCAGCATTAAGATCAGCAGCAGGCCCAGAAGCAGCAGCAGCCGCAGTCGCAGCCGCAAGCTGGCGCCAAGCCGGCTGGCTCACCAGCTGTGCAGGCCGTGCCCAAGGGCTCGCCTGCGCCTGCCCGCAAGCCGTGATCGTACACAGAGCTGCTGTGCAGGCACGTTACGGAAGCACCCAGATATTGACTCTCTTGAAACCAACATGTTAGCCTTGCTGTAAGATGCAAGGTTTCGTATGAGAGAGATAACTGTATGTTTTCTGGCCGTTTGCAGCAACAAAGGTGTCCCAACGGGCGTATGCCGCTGTGAAGGTGCCACAACGGACGTTTGCCTTGATCTGTGCACAACATGACTTATCTCGGCTGATGAGCTGGCTTGCTGGCTTCTTATTTGCCATGTGTCCTGAGCTTCTTATATGACCATTTGCTGACTAGGCAACGTAATCCAGATGTTATCGTCAATGTGGTTGGGATGATATGCAGTCAATTTGGTCAATCAATAATCCTGTGAAATTTCTCACTGTACACTACTGTACGATTCATAACTACACCAATCTGCTGTAATCGTTCCTGATTTCATTTGATCCCCAAGCCCTTTTGAATGCTTCTGTTGGTGGGCCGCCACGTCGTCCGGCAGTCCCCGAGGTGGCACTGCTCGAGGACTGTGCCAGGCGATTGGCATACGCACAACTGCCATGGCTGGTGGACTCATGGTACTATTGGAGATGCAAACTGCACAGCAGGCACACAAACGTCTGCTACGTTGATGGGTGTATGCTTGCAGCACCGATTCAAGCTGCACGCCCCCTGGAGTGAAGGGTCAGCCAAAGCCCCCAAGGTGCGTGGCTAGCCTGGGCACTGGTTGCTTTCCAGGGCAGGCAAACGCCACACACCGAGCAGTGAAACGCGGCCGCTGACCGGATATATATCAAATCCATCCCCCAAGTGCTCATGGCATGCGAGCGTGACGGCGCGGACCTGCAGCAGCCCAGCCAATGCCACCACCACACACCATATGCATGCATAGAGTATGGGTATGAGCGCTTGCCAGCACACGACCCGAGATGACAGCGTCACCATTGCTGCGGCATTGCAGCACACAACAGTAGGGCCTGGGATGGTCCGGTTACGCTGTCTTGAGAGGTGGGCTGGCTGCCCAGCAGCTGCAGCGAACGGTGTGTTGCATCCATCCGCGGTGGCCGGCTGGCAGGCCAGCCACCCATGCATGATCATCGGTGCTGCGCCTCCAGGGACATGACCAGCCTCCGTGATCAGCGCGCTGTGCTCTGAGAAGCGTCACATGGTGTGTGAAATCTTCTGTTGTGCAAGCAACGCTCCTGCACATGGTCACTGCGGTCTGGTTGCGTCACCCGGTCTGGTTACGCCCCAGCTGCAATGCGCGTGTTCCCCAGCAGGCTGAAGGCCGCCGCTGGATGGCTTGAGTCTCTAAAAGGTGACACAACAATTCTATTCTCCACATAGTTATATACTTTATCATCCTGTTTCCAGCTTCATCACAACCGGACCAACGCTCAAACGCAACTCGCTCTCCTGATCTCCGGGGCAATCGCACCATCCACCTCGACAAACCATCGGGGGCCTGCCATCATCCGATCAAGCCCACGCACGCCGTGGCTGGTCACAGCTGGATGCTTGTGACGGGTGAGCATGGCATCTGGTTGTGCTCTGCGTGGGCTGGGAGTTGCAGTTGCCAGGGCCCGGGCAAATCTGACACCGCAGCACGCACGCCCAAACTCAGTGGCCAGGCTTGCCCAGTCCCCGTCTATATTACACAGTTGCGCTATCTGTCAGTTCACTTGCATACAGCTCTTCAGACCCTGCTGCAGCTGTGTCTTTAGGCCCTCGATCAGCGATGAGCCTCACCGACCACCTTCCGCGACTCTTGCAACGCAACTCCCCCAACCAACAGCGCTGGCCCTAATCCTGGCCCCCGCCGTCCTGGGCGCGTCCCTGAAAGCTGGCGGCCTGACTACCTCTGACCGCCGCGCCCTGGGCGAGCAGGCCGCCAACGCGCCGCCCGTCCTGCAGATGGGCGACATGACCGTGATCGGCGGCCGCGTCCCCACCATCAACGTCGGCGGCCGCTCCAGCGTGTACGGCAACCTCAACAGCCGCCACAGCGGCGGCATCACCGTCAGCGGCGGCGCCCTGGGTCCCTTCCAGAACGAGGGCGGCAACGTGTACATCGACCAGTGGCACCGCCGCCGCATGGCTGAGCAGGCCGCCGCTGCCGCCGACGCCAGCATTCTGGCTGTTGGCGGCCGCACGGGAGGCTTTGCCGCCGACAATACCCCTGTCACCAACAACAACGGCATGATTTACTTCGGCAACCAGGGCATCAAGTATAGGGGCGGCACCACCACAGCGATTGACAACTATGGCAACCCTGTCGTCAACCAGGGCGGCTACGGCGACATCTGGGGCCGCCGCCTGTGATTCATCGACATCGCGACATCATTTCCTGGCCGCCCACAGGCAGCCGCACTGTCAGCTTTTGTCGCCCCTCAGACGTCACCGGCCCCATCGCTTACTTGGTGACGAGAGCTGCTGGCTTTTGATCGACGGCGTGGGCTTCGGCAGTGGCCTGATGGTGGTGTCGCACCTTGCGTTTGGTTGCGAGCCAAACGCCCCAATGCTGGCCGCGCGCGTGCTCGGGGCCACCACAGCAGGGCAAGGCGCCTCAAGAACGTACTGGCGGTTGCAGCGGGCTCAGGCGCCACCAGCTCCTCCGCAACTCCCCTTGTGCGACAGCGTGTTTCATCTGCGGAGATCGGTGGGCCTGCTGTCAGGCTTACTCGCTTGGAGTCTGTTTCGCTTCTCTTGTGACAGCCCATGCTGCTGAGATGCGCTGGCTGTGTCGATTCTTGTATGCAAGTAGTTTTCCAAATCATCGGCTCCGCGTGGCACACACACCGCCTTCACCAGCTGGAACTGCTGCACATATCTTGTGCCTCTGAGCAATACTATTACTTTATTTGTTTGCTGGGGGCCGCGACAATTGCATGCTACATGCTGTGACTTTTGCGCCATGCTGCATCCATTGCCCAAGCTGCACACGCACATGCATCAGGATAATGTGTAAAGACTGCAACCCTTCCCTCAACAGAATGTGCAGGCATCGTTGCATAGCCCAGCCCCTTTCGGACAACCATCGGTTGCAAAATCAAGATGCAATTTCCAATGGACTTTTTAAGCTGGTACATAGGTAGATTGTGGGTGCGTGCTGACGGATGGCCACAGAATCGCAGCAATGTCCCACTCACAAGATTAAGGCAAGCTGCACAACGCCGCAACGGCAGGTGAGCATTTTCTTTCATGAGGTGTGTGCTTCTCACCGCAACGCATTGCACAGGTGACGTGCAGCAGGCCCTTACTACAGTAGCTAAATATATATTCTTGATTGCAGCCCTTGCGCTGGTTTGACACCATGATCATGAAGTATGGCAGGGCCTTGTCACCGAGGTGACCCTACCTCACGCGCGAGCTGTCATGCATTTACAAGATAGCGACACAAGATAGCGTCTGTGCATGCTGGTCAATGCCAGTCAACACATGGTGGTGAGCAAGCAGAGGCCGCACAGCTGGTGTGGATCCTTGCCACAGAATTGTGCTTGTGTTGACCCACATTGCTGGACAAATCATCTCAATGACAAATGTCGCAGAGCATGACCTACATGTGCGCCTGCATGGCTCAATTTTATAACAACATACCAAGCAAGCAAGTGGGCAGATTGCAGCCAACACAACCAACAATGAAGATACTAATGCACCTACAAAACAGGAGCCGCTTGGCAGCTGCGCGAGGTTTGATGAGTGCAGTTGGCCCTACCGACTCTCTTGTTGGTGTATGTGTGGTGTGACGCTGCGTGCCATCCATCGACACAGCTATGTGCAAGCATTGTGGGGGGCAAAAGTACACAACATTGTGATTCGTTGTATCTTGCAAAGGCAACACGAACATTTGTGATATGCATGGTGAAAACCCGGGTCGGAAGTTTCATGCCATGTTTACAACAATAGAGTTCGGTTGATTGGTGCATCCATCCGGCAATTGTCCAGGCTACTGTCAGAAAGTGAACCCGTTTCTTGCGTTTGTGAAAATCAATGTGGCTTCGTTGATTTCAAAGAATTTGTTTGGGAATTCAAGGCAAACGTGACTTGGTTCCAAGATATTTTATAGGTATTGTTTTGGAATTCAAGGTAACTTGGTTCCAATGTGTTATAAAAGGTCTTCATTGGAAAGGTAACTTTGATCTGGAAAAAAATGCACCCCGCTTGTGTCGGATGCCCGGTGAAATGTCCCACAAACAGGGGGACCCGGGCTCGGTCACTGCCCAACACATGTGTTGGGCTGTACAGCCCAACGCCAAAACAGGCGCGGACGCTCGGGACTCGCAGCCGAGCCGCAGTGCACGCCCGGCAGTGCGACAGGCGTGCAGAGCCCGGTGGGGCGATAATCACTTTCACCTCATGACGCGCGACTGCCACGCCATGCTGTCGGCGCCCGCCCTCATGAGATCCTGGTGCACCGCCATTGACTGGTCAAACGTGCCGCCCTGCGCGCCCGGGCCCGCGGGCGGCGGCGCGCTGAACGCGGCGATGCTGGGGAGGGGGGGGACGACGGACCCCTTGCCGCCCGAGGGCCACGTGGCCGGGGCCGTCCAGGGCGCCCAGCTGTACCAGAAGTCGCCCTTTGGCCAGGCGGACACAACGCGCCAAGCGGGGGCGCTCAGCCAACCGGCCGCGTGCGGCCAGGCGCCGACAGCCGCGGCGGGCCACGCCGGGGCCGGCGCCCCGCCGCCGCCGCCGCTGCCCATAACCTGGTTGTGCCATGACATGCTCTCTGTGGGCTTTGCCATATATAGCGGTGTTGTAGGCAGATGCTGCGCCCGCGGCGCCGCCCTCGACCGGCATGGCGGAGACCAAGGTGGGGTTGGCCCCGCCGATGAAAGTGGTGGCCCCTTGCGCAGTGATGGCCGCGGCCGCGCTGTCTGCACCCAGCAGCGCGCGGCGGCGGGCCGCACCGGGGCCTTGGGTCAGGCCGCCGGCCTTGAGGGACGCGCCTAGTGCGCCTGGCGCGAGGAGTTGGGCCAGGGCTGCGGGGGCGTGGGCGGCGGGAATGAAGGGCAAGTCGTGAGTTGGCTGATTGGCAGGCCCTGAACGGGGATGGAGAGCAGTGCCGCGGGCAGGGAAAGGGATGAGGGAAGGTGGGATCGTGCTGGCTACTGATTCACTCTGGGTAACTGGAGCTGCGGCATTGGTCTTGACAGCCTAGTCCTCAGCCACTGCGCTGCATCGGGCAGACACCCACCCATGCCCGTACTGCCCACCTAGAAGTGCCGGACCACAGTAGCCGCGAGTCATTTTGATGGTATTTCTTGAATCAATATCAAGCTCTTGGCGCAATCAGAGTTGTGGCGTCGGCCGGGTGGTCACTGTCGAATATGGTGTCTAGATTATGATGTCTTGTTTCGCCTTTGCGGCGGCCCAACGTATGGCAACGTCTGCAAACGTGAGATTCAGGTGATTATCAAACCAACATGTACAGTATGCGATCGGACGTGGCTGCGGACTAGCGGCTGGCGGCTGTGGGGCAGCTGGTGTCACCCTGGTGCCGATCAGCACGAGTCAACGCAAGGCCACATGTGTTGCAGCGCCCTAAGGCGCAGTGTCCGCGTATGAATCAGATCATCAATCAGACAAGTATCCTGAGGTAATGCATCAGAGTTGAGGGCCATGGAGCGAGGCCGCCCAACCAACGAAGCGTGATGTCAGCAGTGCGCATAATGAACAACCACAAGCCCGACAGCCGCCTGATAAAACACCATTGCCTTGGCACGCGCGAGACCCCATTGGCCCAATTGGTGCTGAACAAGAAGAACACAACATCATGCCGATGTTTAGTCCAAGCAGAAGCTTTGACCATGATTGCCTGTTGCTACCGTGTACAGTACTCATCACAAAAACATAGACATCCAAATCTTTATAACCGGTGAACGGGTGTTGTGTGCCAGGCAAGCCAGGTCAAGGCACCAGTGGCCGTGCAGCGCCCTCAAATACAGAATTTGTTGGTTGCTTGGCATGCGACGCGCGGGCTCCGCTTTTCCCACCAAACTTTTGTCCTCCGGCCTACGGACACGGCCGGCCCACAAACCGTGCGCGAATTACTTCCTGCCACAAGTTGTGTAACTCGTGCACGTGAAGTCAGGCAAGGGCTTACGTATAGACACCACGGCCAGTGGCTTCTGTTTGTGCTTCAGCGATCTACACCACAATTGAAACCCTTGTGTCGCCACCATCTTACACCGCTCACCCCCGGGATCTTTGTGGGGGTACTGAGCAAGAGAGAGCACAATGGGCTCTTGAATAACGCACAGACGCGACTGTCGAGACACAAAGTTCAAACCTCAAATGACCGCCGAGCACGATGACACCAACATTATCTTTGTGGTACGCCCGACGTGGGCGACGCCATGTGACACGGCTTGACTACCTGCCCCAAGCAGCGGCGACAACCACCAGGTGCGGCCCGCGGAGACACCACACCAGCAACAGCTGCAGGTGCCAGGCACTCCCTCGTGCACCGTGCGGCCAGGGCGGCGCGAGCGCGGGTGCCAGGGCTGCCGAGCGCACGCACGCCGCTGGTGCCGAGTCACGCCTCGACCGTAGGGTAATGTGGCAGTGCAGCAAAACCTCCAGAGCAGCAGGCAGCAGGAGGGGGTGGGGGCAACCCCTGGAGTTCCGTTTGAAGCGCTTTTGCAGGCTCCGGGTCCGGGATCGGGGCGTGCGCAGCGCAGATGGAGCGCGAGCTGGAGGACCAGGCAAACTGCCGCTGAAAATCTGCAATACCGCCACCACCACCACCAGCACCACCACCGCCGCTGCCGCCGCCGCCTGCGTGACGTGCCGCTGCTGGCCCCTTTCTCCGGGCCGACGGGGTGCGAGGGCGGGAGCCAGGGCGGGCAGCAGAGGGAAGGCCGCCACCGAGGGCTGGTGCGGCCTGCAGGGAAGCACCGCGCTGCCCTCGAGTGCGCCAAGGGCCAAACAACAGTGGAGAGGCAAGCCAACGCACGGGCACGCCCCTGCCGCGCTGGGAGCGCGAGAGGGGCGCGCCGCCGGGCCGCATTCGATCGCGGCGGCCATTGAATGCAAAGTGTTCGCATAATGAGGCAGGCGTCCCCCTGCACGTGTGGCCGGCAGGCAAGAGTGCTAGCAGCACGCTGTGCTGCTGTGGGCTGGGGGCGATGGGTGTCTTTGCCGGACGGGTGTTGAAGGGGCCAGTTGGACACACACACACGCACACACATACACACACACACACACATACACACATACACACACACGTTGACTATCAGTGCAGTGCGACAGACCCAGAAGCGCCGTTGTGTCGTGGCGGGGCAGGGGGTGGGCTTGGCGCCCGCACAAGGTGCGGTGCGGCACATGGGGGCAGCATGGGCGCGTCAGCACCCCACGCATGCCTTTGGGGGGCGTTGTAAGCGCAGAACTGCAGGCCTGCGGGGCACGGCAGCAGCAGGGGGCCAGGGAATTCCCGCAGGCGCCCTGCTGCAATTTGGTTTGTTGGGCCCTTTGTCCAACCCGGCGAGTCTGGTCGGTAGGCTGCGCACGCTGCGCCATGCTCGCACACAGCACAAGCACCAGGCGTCACTCTACACCAAAAAAGACGTGCAAGCGGCCGCGGCGACCCCCGCGCCAGCCCGCTGACCGCAGCGTCAGCCAGGAATTGCAGATAGGGCGATGAGGCACACACAAAAGCGATGGGCGAAAGGGGCGAAAAGGGGTTCAAGTTACGTGGTCGAAGTTGGTGGTCGGACGCCACCACTTGCGGCGCAAAGAAGCCGCAACCAGGGGGTATCAAGCTCAGGAGGGGCGAAACGTGCAGCCGACCCGCCCACGCTCACACCCACGAAGCCACGCGCTGCCCTGGCGGCACGCTGCGCTGCCCCGGCAGCGGCGGCAGTGCGCCGCCGCCGCCGTCGCCGCCGTCGCCGCCGGGCGCCGCGAGGCCGTGCCGCAGCGGCAGCACGCGGATCGACGGCTCAGCCCTCCCATGCACCTGTTTCGCCGGCGCGCCCGCCGCGCCTCCCGCCGCCACCTCCCCCCTCTCGCCCTCTGCCGCCTCCGCGACCTCCTCCTCCCCCACCGCCGCCGCCGCCGCCACCGGCAGCGTCTCCAGCCAGGCCAGGAGCTCAACAGCCACCCTCAGCGCCTGGCCGCCGAGCATCGCGTCATGAGTCACCCCCGGCAGCAGGCTCACCCACGCGCCCCAGTGCTCCGCGAACGCCTCGACCTGGAAGGGGCGGATGATCCTGTCCTCGTCGCCGCCGATCGCCAGTATCGGGGGCAGCAGGCCGCTCCCACGGCCCGCGCGACGAACCCCCTCCTCCTCCGCCGCCGCGCCGGCCGCCGCGCCCGCGTCCGGCAAGCCGCTCGCGGTGTCGGCCGCTTCTGCGTCCGAGGGCGACGGCGGCGGCGGAGGCCCCGGCGCCCAGGTACTGATCTCCGAGGTTATGTAGGGCAGCGTGCGGCTGCTGCGCCGCACGGCCTCGTGGTACACCGCCGCCTCATCTGGGGGCAGGCGGTCGGACCACCAGCAGTAGCGCGCCACGTTAGCGTCCCGCAGGTGGGCGCCGGAGAAGACGATGTACATCTGG